CCTTAGGAGTAGTGCTCGACCCTTTGTTTGGACTGAAAAGGGCTTAAACTGTGTTTTTGAATTTTACAACTTTGGACAATTTTAGGAATTTTGGAACACTTAGGAAATTTTTCCATGAGTCCTTTGCTTGCATTTTCATTCTGTATTTATAGAGGGATGTAAAAATGAACAAACATGGCAAGAATCCATGCAATTAACAATGTTTTGAATACAAAATCACAAATTGAAAAAAATGCGATTTTTGAATTATTCTCTTGCCATTTTGGTCCGTTGCATGAACCTGGACCTCTCTAATGTATCATGCACGAAAATATGGGCCTCTCAATGGATCAAACCAAACCCAAATGTCATGGCCCATCTTTCTTGCATTTTAATACCATTTATTTAATTTTAAATTAAATAAAAATCAAAATAAATGAAAATAAAATTAAAGCCATGAAAAAATGGTCTTAGAGGTCCTTTAAGACACTATTAGCATGCTTGAAGTCCAACAAGTAGGCCCATTAGTCTAAAAATTCAATTTTGCTCAATGTGTACTTTTTGAAATTCCTCAAAATTCCCCAACTTGTGTAAACCATAGCTTGCTCAAATTTTATATTTTTAAGATGATATTGGACTTTTTAGAAATCCCAAGAAGTCTTATTCAATCTCTCTTTTGACCATTTTTGCATTTAAAGAAATTATCTTGGCGTAACTTGCCTTGACAAAGAATGCCTTTTGTTGACTTTCAAAAAGACCTGTTATGTATTGGTTCATATCTTTCTAATGATGCATTTTTTGAACTTGATGAAAAAAGAAAAGTTGTAGGAAATTGAATTTTATTCACAATGAGCTTTGGCTGTGGCAAAATGGATGAAGCATGTGAAAGTTATGCCTGGTCAAAGTTTAGTTGACTTTCTCTAGGAAACCCTAATTTAGCAAGTATTGATTCTTGATGATTTGAGAGCATTCCTTGAGGAATCATGATCAACCCTTGATAAAATTATGGATATAACTTCAAAATGTTGATGTTGACCAAAATCTTGAAATTTGACTGTATATTAACCATAGTTGACTTTTGACCTAATACCGTTGATTTTTAGTCAACTGAGCATTTGACTGAGCAAACTTGTAATGCAAGGCACGAAAATTGGCATGGACATTCTTGAGGACATATTAGGTACCATAGAAATAATTTTTGGCCTTTTAAACCAAAACTTCTTTGTAAAAAATGGACACCCTAGTTGGAGATCCATTGCTTAGGAGGAGAATTTGTCTGGTGAATTCTTGGTCAACCTTGAGCACTTGAGGATCTCAAGGAGTATGTTTTGAATAAAAATGAGAGGGGAAATTTTGCGGTACAACAATGTGGATCTCATCAAATGCCCCAAGTTTCTCGGTGTTGGAGAATCAGGTGCTCAAATTTCTTGTAAGGAAATGACGAGGACAAAATCTTGGTCGAGGTGACCATTACGAATTGCTACCTGCACAGAAAAACAAACATCTTTGAATTCCATGTAATAGTGATAGAGACCTCCAGCAGCTGCTTAACACGTAAGGAAGGTAGAACATCATGGGAACAATAGTGGGGGACTTGGTGGAGTGTGGAAGTGTCCTTATGCAAGCGTAGGCGGCGCTGCTCTGGCCACAGCAGGGTACGGTTGTACCAACTTTTTTTGCCTAGCTATTCCACTGCTTCCTTTGAATTTGAGCGCTATCCTCTTTTTCTGTCCTTTTTAGATTTCCCTCCATTTTATCCTCTCTTGTACACTTTCCTCACTAACAACAGCATCCCTTATTGAACTCTTTTGATCAAGGCCTTCCTTTTCTATTTCCAGCATGCGCTTTCTTCAGTAACCTCCTTGAGTCTCGCCTCCACAATAAATACAGAATTCACTATAAAGTGCAATAAATTAAACTAAAAAGCCATAAAAGAAGATTCAAAACATAACTAATAAGGCATGAATTAACACACAAAATATGTGTTAGCAATGGTGATTTGATGTGGAATACTAGTAACGCTTGTTATACTATAGATGTAGTAAATAATGTCATGTTGTTGTTTTTGTTATTTCCATGTTATGATGACTATATCTATTACTTATGCTTTTTATAATGATTGTGATTTACTCACCCTTTCTGCTTGGAAATGTTGCCTTGAAATGTGGGTAACTTGCAGGTGATCAAGATTAGTGCAAAAAGCTTAAGAGGTAGCTTCAGAGTGCGCTTGTTTAGTTTCTGTTGAGTCCAGTGGGTCTTGGTGTGATATGTAACATCGTGGTTGATATCGTTTAATTGTGAATCTAGAGTACTTTTATTATTTTGAAGATTTAGTATTAATTTCATAACTTTTGTTTTGGATCATGATTTTATAATACATGAAGTATGATGAATTTATTGATGTTCAGATACCTTTCATGGTATTGGAATTATTTTATAAAGAAGTTTTGAGACTATTATTTTCCGCTGTGAAGTTTGAAGTAACTTAATTAGTAATGCCAAATGTGTTTTTTATATCTTTAGTTGTTTTGCAACCCGTGTTACGGAGCAGGACTATTTGTTAAATGAATTTATATGAAGATGTCACGCCCTTCTGTGGTTTTAATTGATTTTTCTTTCATAAAATACATGTCAAATAATTATGGTTAAAAGGGTGTTACAGTATGCATATCATGATGATGCTTCTTTTGAAACTGTTGTAGAAATGGTATAAGATCATGCTCTGGTTTTTGTGATAGTGGTTTTATGATGATTAATTCTTTGCATTTTGTTTGAAAGTGACTGGAATGCTTAAATTTGCATTGTTCTGGAACTGAATCATGATGCTTTGTTATGTATTTATACTAGTTTGACATGGAGTCATATGGCATGATGGTACTTGAAGTATAAACAATTCATGGTGCATTGGACATGAAGAATGATCATTATAGATGACAATGAATTTGAATATGTTAGGAGGAGTAATCTTTTATGAATTAAGACTTTTTAGGAGGTCTGGTTAAATTCTTTAGTTTTAGTCAACCGTTGACCAAAAGTTAGCAATTGACCAAAAAGTCAACTGTACAAGTCAGAGAAAGAGAAAAATGAAAGTAACACAATAGAGTTTCTCAAAGACCAAGTACAAATATAAGTGGGAGAAGCATCGATTAAAGAAAATATAAGGAGTCTTGATGCAACAATAAAGAAACTTGGAGCTCCAATTCTAGCGGTCGACAAAAACAAAGGGATGGAATCGATTGGGATCTCAAAAAAGCAAACATATAATAATATGAAGAAAAGAAGAGAAATGAAGAAGGAAAGGAAAAAAGGTGGCATCATGCTGCAATTGTAGTCAACGTCAACTTACACAAAATTAGGTAACACGAAGAAGGAGAAGAAATTGAGATGGACAAACATTTATGGGACTCAAGAAATGAGTCAGGTTTGATTCATAAAGGATAGAGGGTAAATTATTACAAGAATTGACATTAGTGGTGAAAGGAGAAAAAAAGGTTTGGTAAAACGGATGGTCGCTAGAAGTGTTAGAAATAATTAGTACGATATGATGAAATCAATCAATCAACTATCTATCCATAAAGAGAACATGTCCGCAAACTACCAATAATACCCTTCACTTTAAATTTATTAAAACTTACAAAAGGTTAAAATAATAAAAACATAATATCTCAATTAATTCATCTCACTTCAAATGCTACAAAGTGCCCAATTCTTATTTGATACTCTTGCCACTTTCACTTTTTTCTCCATTGCTCAATATTTCACTAGTCATTTCTCTTTCCTACACTTTTTCACTTTCATTTTTAAATTTTTCTCTCACCATTTTCTCATTTTCTTTTTGTTTTTCTAAGCATAAATGAATTAATAAATTTAATCTTTTTAATGGAACGAAGAGGAACACATAAAAATAGACTCAACCAAAAATATAATTATTTTATGATTATTAAAAAATTGTTCATAATTATTAAAAAATTATTCTCAAATGTGAAAAAATTTACTTTTCTCATGGGTCACTATCAACGAAATACTTATTTTATTTTAATTAATAATTTCCTTTATTTGAGATACATAATTCTTATTTTAAAATGTCAAATTTTCTATTTTTCTCATGGGACACTATCACTAAAATACTTATTTTATTTTAACTAACGATTATCTTTATTTGAGATACATAATTCTTATTTTTAAATATCAATATTATCTATTTTTTTCACTGGCCACTATCAGCAAAATAACTATTTTATTTTAATTAACAATTGTCTTTATTTGAGACATAAAAATCTTATTTTCAAATGTTAAAATTTCTATTTTTCTCACAAACCACTATCAACAAAATATCTATTTTATTTTAATAAATATTTGTCTTGATTTGAGACACAAAATTCTTATTTTCAAATATCAAAATTTCTATTTTTGTCATGGGTCACTATCACCAAACTACCTATTTTATTTTAATTAACAATTGTCTTTATTTAAGAAATAAAATTTTTATTTTCAAATATCAAAATTGAATTTATATTATTATTATTTTTTATAATTAAATAATTCATTTCAAATATACATATATATTTAAATGAATTCTATATAGTATCAAATAAGAAATTTACGTGAATATCTTGCTAGTCGATTAGTTACAACATTAGGGGTTAGGGGGTGTTGGCTAGAAAAAGAAAATTAAGAAATTAACTGTAAAACATTTAAAACAGAAGCCAAAAATAATGTACTCTCAAGAAACTAAGATGGAAGTTATTGAAAAGGAAAATATTTGGTTGGTTATGGGGTTTTAATGAATTCAAATTTGGGTTTAAATCATCATAAGGGTGATCTGAAAGGATATTAACGATGTGTGATAACAAGTCAGTAACAATCCAGAAAATTCTGATATTGAATCCATACATGACATACCACTCTTACATGATTGTGAAATTGCTCATAACTATTATTCTTCATCACAAGAAAACATTATTATTAGCTAAACTGCTAGTATTGCAATCTAAAACATTATTCATTTATCCAATCATTGATTATTCATGGAGAAAAGAAGCCAAACGTTTGATCAATTTCTGACCATTCTCAGACTCAGGATAAAAGATATGATAAACATGATCTTCACCTTCTTGTTCAAACAACTCCAATTTCCCTTTCCAACCACTCTTTTTCACAATCTCATAATACCAAACCCCTCTTTCCCTTATTCCATCATTCCCAGCAACACAAACAATCATCCTCTCACAACCAAGTCCTTCCAAACTCGGCGCCTCTAAACCCAAAGGATTAACATGAAGATTATCAACCCCGCCTGGAGCTGATGGATACACAAAATTCCAAACCGAACAGTAAAAATCATGATCAGAACTTTTGAGTTTAACACCCTCTAATCCAACAGGGTACGAACTATAGAAAAAAGGGTGTTGTAAAATAGCTCCTAAAACCTTAACATCATTAGGTAAAGGTTCGGAGCCAGCACGCATGGCGATGTTATGAACTATGTTACCACCAGCGCTGTCACCACCAATGAAAATTCTGTTCAAGTCACCGTGGTTGATTAGCCAGGGCTCTTGGTTAGAAGCAACCCATTGGAGTGAAGTCCAGCAATCATGATACGCTGCAGGAAGAGGGTGTTCTGGGGCGAGTCTGTATTCGACGGAAACAACTATGGTGTTTGCTTGAGAAACGAAGGTGTTGAAGTGTTGATGGTAGAGTTTGGAGAAAGCTGATTCGAAGAAGAATCCACCTCCATGGAAGAATACTAGGATGGGAAGTTTATGGATGGGGTTTTTTGGGAGGTAGAGACGAGCGGAGATATTGGGGTTTTGAGAGATGGTGATGTCCTTGGATGAGACGGGGGAAGTTGGGTCGTCGAGATTGGGTGGTACTGGTGGTGCTTGTCGTGGTCGCTCGATGGTGCCGTCGCTGTAGACGGTGATATATGTAGGTAGTTCTGAGATGATGTGTTTAGTTGTACCGGTGGTGGTGGTGGTGGTGGTTGTGGAAGCCATTGATTTAGAGATGCAAGAAAACAAAACAGTTTTCGGTTTTTATATACGACTTAGTCTAAATGAGTTGGCAAGCATCAAACCATCTAGAAAGCAGAAATTTAATAACAACATATCCGCCGCTCTCGTTTTGCTTAAGTCCATTGAATATAAAAACTTAAATAATCGAATCTAAAATCTTGTTCAGCTTAATGATGTCAAAAAAGTCACACGGTTTTCCCTTTAACCACTTCATCAGTTGCATGCTTTTTGCTTAATAGTAACTGCATAAAAAACTGCAACAGTTACATAAATAAACAAGAGAATAGTGATACAATATGACTACGTACGGTAATGATAACATGTTCCAGTGGCTTTCTTCTTCTCAGTGTAAACACAAATAAACTATCTATTTAGATTTTGGCCAATTTTCAAATTTTCAAATTTTTTTTCTTTCTTTTCAATTTGTCTTATTTATACTGTTATGTTTGTAAAGTAACGAGGATCAATTTGTCTTATTTATGCAATTTGTATTATTGATATTAATTTGTCGTCGTTTGTATAAAATTCAACATTGTTAGATACAAGAGACATAAGAGGGTGGCAAGTTGAACCTACATCTTTATATTGTGGCTGGTTTTAATCTATTAAGATAAATTGAGTAAAGAGAGGTGAGGAAACTTTTATGTTTAACATAGACAGAGAGTTGAATAAGATGTAGGTAAGATAGATCTAAAGTATTTTTTGTATTCAGTCGTGTCTATATATTTTATCAGGTAATTTTTATTTTATTTATTTTATTTTGGACAAAGTGACACGATTGTATTTATATTGGTTGATAAGTTTTAACCAAATCAAGCTGCATTGTTATTAAGACTCTAGAATGAAAGATTAATAAACATGAAATGGAGTTTAATTTTCTTTACTGATATTGTATGCCGTTTGATAATTGTTTTTTTTATTTTATTTTTAATAGTGCCAAGTGTTGGATTATAAGTGGGGTATGGCATTAATTTGAAAAAAAGAAGGTGGTCCTCTTCGTTGTTTATGTGGTGTGATCTTTATTTTATTTATTGTTACATGTTTGTTTTATTCTAATATTATTTAGAATCAATTTTTAAGAAATATCATTTGAGCTTTCTACTCTTTTATTAACTTTACATTATCTCTAATTCATTAATGCACCATTTTATTTGTTTAAATTAAATTTTTAATTTAGTTATTAGTTTTATTAGACTAATTTAGGTTATATTATTTTTACAAAAGGATATCACAAAAGATTATTAATAAACTCGCATTCAAAAGGTTTTTCACAATTGAATTAATTTCAACATTTAAAAAAATATTAGGATCTCCATCTTCGAATAATTAAATCGATGAATACATCGTCTATTGGTTTATTATGCAAAATCAAACAATTAAAATCCACGTAACTCACAAGTTACTACATCCGCGGGCGACACATGGCCAATATCTGACCACGTAATGACGAGACTGTATCAGACTCCACCGCTCCACGTCATAATATAGCTAACCAATCAAAATACATTTTTTCAACTAACATAACAAAAAACCCAAGATATTTTCGAAAAAGGATTAAGGAGAATTGCTATCAAAATTAACTGTGAATTGCGTCTACAATTACTCTTTTATAAAATCCAGACAAAGTTCAAGGATAAATTTGAAATCAATTCTATATAATCCTATAAAAAACACCAACCCACTACAAATTACAAATTGAGAATCTGATTCCTCCTAAGAGGATACATAGGCATATGACTAAAGTCATGGCGAGTTCCCTTAATAAAATACTAAAAATCTTATTCCCTAAAGATTAATTCTAAACCTAATATCCTTGTGAGCAAGGTAGATGTGGGGTGCCTAACACCTTCCCTTCGTCTAAAACCGAGTCAAAAAACCTAGAATCTATGACTTTTTAGGGTTAACCTTTATATTCCCTTCCTTAGGATAAAAATTAAGGGTGACGACTCTCAAATTTTAAAGCCAGTTACAACAACTCTGATGTTGTTGCTTAGCACCATCCCTAAGTTTTTTTAGTGTTTGTATATCTTTTTCAAAGTTCATTTATGTTTTACTTTAAATGACTTTGATGATGTCGGTCCTGATGGTCTTTGATGGTGTTCATTCATGCTTTATCTTGAATTCCTCTAATATTTTCTTCTCGAAGTTCAATCACGCTTTATCTTGATTTCCTTTGATGTTGTTCAATCATGCTTTACCTTGATTTCCTTCTATGTTGTCCAATCATGATTTACCTTGATTTCCTTTTGATGTTGTTCAAATCATGTTTTACCTTGATTGCCGCTTGATGTTGTTTCAATCATATTTTACCTTGATTGTCTTTGACAATGCTCAGATATGTTTTACTCTTGTTTGTCTTTGTTGTTTATCTTTCTTTTCAAATTCACTCATGTTTTACTGTTGAATGCCTTTAATGTGGTTTCCAGTTTCATCCATTGATCTTTTGGATGTTTTTGTTGATTTGTTTCCTTTCCAGTTTCATTCATGGTTTATCCTGGACGATTTTGATGTGTGTTCCAGAGATATTTCTTCTTGAAAATCTCTGTTGATTTTCTGTCCCGAGTTTCCTTCATGTTTTAACTTGAAAACTTCTGTTGACTGTCTCTTTTCTTCTCCTGAGGAATCCAGTGTTATTCTTGGATGACTCATATCTTTTTCGCAGTTGGAGTTTTAACCTCTTCCCGTTGGATTTGGATTCTTTTCCCCCTTGGACTTAGATATCCTTTTTTTTTGTTTCCTTCCCCAATTGAGTCTTTTCTTTGTGTGTCCCTCTGGAATTCCTTTACCATATTCCTCTCTTCTCTAGTAGTGGTTTGTCTCTAGATCTCTTTTGTTTGTACTCATGCATATCATATCTATTAGAGGGTAATTTAGTATTTTGTTAGTTAAAGATAAGTTTACAATTAGGGCCTATGTGGCATTATTATTTGTGTATAAATAGGTGTATTAGGATTACATTTATATCAATCAATTCTCCAATCATTTGTAGTCAGCCTTTATTGCATTTATTCCCTTTCATCTTCTTCCTTAAATTCATCACCTTGCACTAACAAATTGGTATCTAGAGCTTCTTGGTTGTTCTGAAATTCTGGGAAACACGAGTGATAGTGAGCTGTGTGTTTGATTTTTGAATCTTGAACAAAAATCTGAAACAGAATCACACTGATTCTGTGGGTTTGGGAAACACTGAGTGAGAAATTTGAGATCTGAGTTTTTCTGTGCAAAGGTTTAAGATGAATGGAGGCAGTAGTTTAAACACTAAACTTCCAGTTTTTGATGGTAAAAACTGGAACAGATGGAAGATTCAAATGCGTGTGCTGTTTGGTGCTCAGGATGTTCTGGACCTTGTTTCTGAAGGTTATGTTCCAGCAGCAGCAGATGCTACTGAAGAACAGAAATCAGAAGAAAGAGCTACAAGGAAGAGGGATCAGAAAGCACTGTTCTTCATCCATCAGTGTGTGGATGAAAATGTGTTTGAGAAGATTGTTGATTCGACGACGTCGAAAGGGGCATGGGATATTCTGACCAGATGTTATGGTGGTGACGTATCAGTAAAGAAGGTAAAGCTTCAGTCCCTGCGAAAACAATATGAAAATCTCAGCATGAAGAACAGTGAGAAAGTTTCTGATTACATCTCCAGATTGATTCTGATCACTAATGAAATGAAGGCTTGTGGAGAAACACTTTCTGAACAGGTAATCATAGAAAAGATTCTGAGGTCACTTACGCCTCAGTTTGATTACATTGTTGTTTCTATTGAACATTCTAAAAATCTGGAAACCATGAGAATAGAAGAGTTGCAAAGCAGTCTAGAAGCACAAGAGTTGCGTCTGACTGAAAGAACTTCTGAGAGGGAAGTGGAGCAAGCTCTGAAAGCTTCTTTTGTCAAGAAGGACCAGAAGCAGGATAGACATGGTGATAAATTCCAGAAGTCAGAAACCTCAACTTCTGATGAGAAGAAATATCAGAAGGGAAAGGAAAGGTATGACAAGAAGAAGGTTCAATGTTACTGCTGTAAACAGTTTGGGCATTTTGCCAGAGACTGTAGAAACAAAGGAAGAAAATCAGAAGAAGCAAATATAGCCAGAGAAGATTCTGATGATGAACCTGTGCTACTGATGGCTTCTGATTCTGATGGAAACTGTTCAGGAGATTGGTGGTATATGGACACTGGCTGTTCAAATCACTTGACTGGGAACAAACAATGGCTGACAGACTTTGACTCCAGAAGGAGAACAAAGATCAGATGTTCTGATGATAAGTATCTTAATGCAGAAGGTATGGGAAATGTCAGAGTCAGAGTGAAGAATGGAAGAAACATTCTGATCAAAGATGTCTGGTACGTTCCTGGAATTAAAAGCAATCTGATGAGTGTGGGTCAGCTTGTTGAGAAAGGTTTTTCAGTGGTTATGAAGGACAACCTCTTGACGTTGTATGATTCTAATCAGAAGATGATTATGAAGTCTGAGCAGGGAAGCAACAGAACATTCAAAGTTAATGTAGAAACTTCTGAAGCGGAGTGTCTCAGTGCAGAAGGCGCTGAAGCAGACAGTAAGTTGTGGCACAAGAGGTTGGGGCACTTGAACTATAGAAGCTTAGGGCATCTAAGTTCTAAGAAGCTCGTACATGGCATTTCGAAGATTATGAAGCCTCAGAAGTCATGTGAGATATGCATGAAAGGTAAGCAACCCAGATTGCCATTTGCATCAGAAGTAGCCCCCAGAGCAAAACATGCTCTGGGAGTAGTACACTCTGATGTATGTGGACCATTTCCAGTAGCTTCACTTGGAGGAAACAAATATTTCGTGTCTTTTGTGGATGAGTTCACAAGAATGACTTGGGTAACACTCATCAAGTTCAAGCATGAAGTGTTTACAGAGTTCCAGAAGTTCAAGGTGAAGGCTGAGAAGCAGAGTGGTCAGAAGCTGAAGATTCTGAGAACAGATGGTGGAGGTGAGTATAACTCTACAGAGTTCCAGAAG